CTATTCCTTAGTAAGAACCAGGGAGTAAACCCTAAACCCTAAACCCGAATTGCCCCATTCCCTAGTAAGAACCAAGGAGACTAGGTTCCGGAGTAGTGCCCTTTTGCCCTTTCTATTTTAGGGTCCCTTCATTAAAACCGTTACAGTACTAGGAAAAACGGTACCTGTATGTTGCAGGGTCTATTGAGGAACCTAGAACAACTTATGAGGAAATCGCAAGAAGGAGCCCTGAAAATCTATAGGTTTTTAAAGCAGGTCATAAGGTTTAGGCGGGCGAAACCGGACGATTTGGGGTTTAGGATTTAGGTTTAGGCTTTAGGCATTCTTGCACCTGTGCTCTACAGAGTCAGAAACCCGAAAAGTATACGCTCTTCGGGGCTATTCTTTTGCCTTAGTTCGAAATGAATGACCCCGCCCTGATGTAAGGTGCATGCTCCATTTTGGGAGTCTCCGCGTTTCCCCAACCTTTCTGATCTGAGCTTGCCGGGAGGTGCTTCTGGTGGAGCTGGGGGCAGGTGGGCCCGGCGAGTGTGGAGGGCCCTCCGTGAACCCTCGGAGTTTCCAGCCTGAAGCCTTAAAGCCCTAGAGCCCTAGAGCCCTAGAGCCCTGAAGCTCCGAACCCCAAACCCCAAAGCCCCCAAACCACAAGAGATATGACGTGGCCAACAATCCTCATCGCCTTACGCCCCCAAGAAGAAACCCTAAAGCCTCCCCCCAAGTTCGGCTTTTGGCTGGAAGTTTTGGGATGTAAGGTCTCTGCATTGAAAGGTATGATCTTCGAGTCCGAATCCAAAATTCAGGAACGTGTCAGGGTTTCATAATTTTCCGGGCTTTATCGGGTTCTAGAAGGGCTTCGTACGGTTTCATAGGGGCCCGTTGCGGAACATTCCTTAAAATCATATCGCTTATGCCTCTAAGATGAAAGGTCGACTTCCTAGAGCTTTAAACCCTCGAAACCTCAAACCTAGGTCTATAGAGCATGGCGAGCAGCGGGTTTGCGAAGCCGCCTACTGCACCATAAGGGCTTTAGGGGTCAGGCTTGGGGGATTTAGGGTTTTGGGTGACCTGACCTCGTAGCTTGTAAGCAGTGTTTACAGAGAGCAAGTATCAGACCCCAGATAAGATCCCTTTTAGGGTAGGTCCGAAGTCAAACGAGAAGGGATGGACCAAGGCCCTAGCAAAAAGAAGAGCACACGGCAACACAAAGACAACGAACAAAGCACAGCAAAAAGGCAACAACCCAAAGACAAAAGAAAGGGAGCGAACTCCACTCTAACCTCTACACCCGCAGCCCTAAACTCTACACCCCAAGCCCTAAACTTTAAAGCCTATCCTTTAATCCCCCAAATTCTAGACTTCATGCAGTAGGAAAAGAGCCCGTAAAGAACAAGCAAGCCTTATACTCCTAATCCTCAGACCTAAACCCTAAACCCTATACCCTAAACCCTAAACCCTATACCCTAAACCCTAAACCCTAAACCCTAAACCCTAAACCCTAAACCCTAAACCGCTTGGAGGCGGCGCAGCCGACCTACTCCTCGATGAGTCGGAGCACGCCTGGCCTGCCGGTGGCCTGGGCGTGGCCGCTGGGCGTGGTCTTTTCCATGACAAAAAAAGGGTTTAGGGTCTAGGGGTTTAGGGTTTAGGGATTTAGGGTTTAGGGTTTAGGGTTTAGGGTTTGGGGTTTAGGGTTTAGGGTTTAGGGTTTTTTTCCATGAAAAAAAACCATGCGTGTCTTTGTGAATCATAAGTTACCATGTTTTGCGTTCCTTGCGTTTTGCTTTGGTAAGTTATCTGCTTGTAATACTGTGACTCCCTTTTTTGTTTTTCCCCTTTTTTTACTACAATATATCATATACTGCCGTTGTCCTCCGGGAACATACCGCTTTTTCTTGTTTAGTACAGTGGTTCTTTGGGTTGTCACGAACATAAGATAGCTTTTGACTGCTATGCATATTCCTCCTGCGTAGAGCTTGGCTCATGAGGGTGCTCCGGGAGGGCATCGAGCGTTTGGAACATAGGACAGGAAGTGTGTTTAACGGAGGTATATAGTTCGCCTTTTTGGTTTTTATGGCAAGGTTTAGGGTTTAGGGTTTAGGGTTTGTAGTTCGATTCTTCTGCTAAGGTTTTGCCCAGGAAATGTGTAGTCATGTAGTTTTCCGCTGTTATTGTGAGGGGTAACCCATCAATCCCGTAAACCCGTAAATCCTAAACCCTTCACCCCTAAACCCTAAACCCTATCAGACCCTTAACCTTAAACCTAAACCCCTAAACCCCTAAACCCTAACCCCAAATCCCTAAATCCCTACACCCTAAATCCCTAAACTCTAAACCCTAACCCTAAATCCCAAAACCCAAACTCTCAGTTGCCGGGCTTTGGACTTCTCAGATTGCTGTTGTTATTTCTATGGGTCTTCTTCTTATTATGTTTGATGATATCACTACTACTACTACTAATACTACTACTACTACTACTACTACTACTACTACTACTACTAACTACTACTACTACTACTACTACTACTACCCTAAACCCTAAAGCCTAAACCCTAAACCCTAAACCT